GGGGAGGGGAGGGGGGACGATGGACTTTCAATAGTAATATCTAAAATTGTCGAGTCTGTTAATTGTGCAGTGTTTTAATAAAAATCTTATCTCTTCGGCTCGAGCAAAGGCTCAAATAATAGCGACGTTGTCTAGATGATTTATCTAATACATAAAAAAAAAAAACATTTACAAAGTATCTCGAGATAACGTAGAACAAATTATTATTAATAATAATAATGATAATAATTATCATAAAAAGAGACTTCAGAGTTGAAATTATGCTTGGACATTTTTTAATACTCTTCATCGATCAAATTTGATCATTTTACATACAATTAAAAGTTTATCGTAGTATAATAAATAATTATGCTTTAGTATAAATAATAAATAAATATAAAAGACGTTAAAAGAGAGGCTCTCATATATCAATAAAAAAAAAATCGATAAAATTTTCTATGGCAATCCGCATAAAAAGAAAAACGGAAAGCACCTATCTGTATAACTATTAAAATTCACCCAACCAATCTCTTAAAACCTAACTCTGCAAATACGTATATTTGCATTTATTTATTAATTTATTAATTTATTAATTTAAAAGGTCATAATCGCGAATACATGGTATTAAAGAATTTTTATAGTAAACTTGTTTCGCTAATGGTTAAGCGTTCTGGAAACTAAAAACTCGCTCGCCTCATATCTGTCTTATGTTTAATAACATTGCAATCTATATAATTAGTTGGAAAAAGAACAAGAGAGAGAGAGAGAGAGAGAGAGAGAGAGAGAGAAATGTAATCAAACCCTTGTCCTAGGAATCGATTCAGAAAAAGTACAGTTAAAGCTTTACAGGTGCGTGACATCAGCGAGAGAGTGAAGAACGTTTCACAGATTCTTGGAAAATTAGAAAATGTCAATTCCGACGCTCCAAGTACTACGAGCGAACGTAGCGAACCATCCACAGACGAACAAACTCGTGCATTCAGCCGAGTTCAAGATCTTATCCAAACTGCTTTAGAACAGATACAAGATCTCCCAAGGTTCGTTCGGCCATTTATTTAAAGTACATTATTTTCTTAGGAAAATAGCCAAAATACTTGCGCTATCGGCCTTGTAGAATTTCATTAAAAAATGCTATTTTACATTCTATACATCGACACGACATAGCTCATGACTTTTGCTATCCTTCATTTCTTTCTTTATTCATTTTCTTATTTATGTTTTTATTTATATATATATATATTTTTTTTTTTTCAAATTAACGTCATTTAATTACTGAGAAAATAATATCTCTGTGTTTTAATTGACATGAATATCTTCTTTTTTTTCTCTCTTACGTGGTTCTCTTACACTTTACTTTCCACTGTATTTAATTTTATAATAATTTTAAAAGCTCATAAAAAGTACCTGTATTATTTTAATGGTTGAGACAACGTAAAAATTCCATCGTAAATACGTAATATGTATACACACGCGCACGCACGTACGCACACACACGCGCGCGCGCGCATAAACATATACGTGTGCGTGTGAAATAAAAACAAAAAAAAAATTATAAATAATTCTAGAGATGTTAGTCAAAGTTTCTTTATGGCTATAAATTGACGATTATCGGTAATATCGGATTTTATGTCAGGGTCGCTGAGCTCCAAACAATGCACAACGAGACGCAAATGTTTTTGCAAGAGACTAAGCACGCTTTGAAAGATGCAATCGTACAAGGAAACGAAGGCATCGAATTGAAAATGGCAGAAAATAAAGAAGAAACACGAGATTCGATCACTTCGTTGAGGTATGCAAGATTAAAATTGTTACGTTACCAACAAGTAAAGTTAACGTTCATTTTAATGGGAATCGATCATTATTAAATATACCGCTAGATTCACTTTTCAAACGCTTTTACATAGCGAGTGAATTACTCTATAAGGCAGTATACAATTCAGCAGCGGTCAATTTCGCAATAACTGTTTAAAATACAACCCTCGCCACTTCGTTATTTCGTCAGATTAAAGAATTTTGCCGTGGGAATTCGACGAGTACGGGGAAGGGGCCCTGCAAGTGCTAATAATGATTCCGCATCGTCCGCAGGTCCGATCTCACGAATAACGCCGAGCGAATAAATCAAGAACTGCATGATCTCGGCAAAGGCCAATCCGTCATGGTGGAAATGGCGGATCACGTACTGGATACGAAAAAGAGGCTCGAGCATGCCTACAAGATACTGCGCGAGGTCGGTGAGCTCGTGATGGCGCAAGGATTGAACATCAATCACACGCTCAACTCGCGATTCGACGGAATCTCAAATGACATAATGGACAATCAGAATGGTGCCTTAGCTAACTTAACCGTTAAAATGGAGCAAGAGATGAATCAGGTGAGTGAGATTTTTAAGAAGCTTGCTTTTTCATTGCCATGATCGATCATTGGCTGGCTACCTCCTGAAATTGCCGAGCATCATGCTTAATCGAGCTTAATCAACAATTTTCTATGAGCATTAATGTAGCTGTTTTGTTGTCGAATTGTGTCGCAGGTCTGGCGACAGATAAACGTCATGTACCAGCAAATGATGGAGAGTGCCAAAGCTCTGGACAAGCTTCATAAGCAAAACGAAGCCTACGTCAATGGAACAACGTCGACGATGGACGGCATGGAAAGCAAGGTATTGTTGATAAGCTGCTTCGTTAAAGAAAATATCTTTTAAAATATTAGCCAAAGATTTAAAGATAGAACGCATATTAATAAATAACAATTAACAAAATTATTCTCACAAAAATTATAATTATAAATTATTTTAATTTATTATATATATATATATATATATATATATATATATATATGAATTTGATATTTTAAATAAAAAACAGTTTTAAAAATTTTCATTAATGTCGACACGATATATATTTATAATTAAGTGTCAATACGAGTACATCTTCCCTGATGGCAAATGGTAAATCATTTATTCAAAATTCTAGTGAATAAAATATAAGCTATTGCGCATAATTCACATTTAGAACACATTTAATTCACAGCCCCCAATTCTAATTCACCTAACAAAAAATCTTTTACTATATACATATTTTATTATTATTATTATTATTATTATTATTATTATTATTGTTTGCGCCAAGGTATTATTCTCGCTACACGTTTCATTAAAAAATGCCATTTTATGTAGAAAAAAAAAATGAAAATAATTTTCTTGTTTTTTTTCCCTAAAAATCTCCAAATTGAATAGGGCAATGAAAATACTTGTTAATTGACATCATAGTTAAATTAAATTAATGCTAAAAGGTATAAAGAATAATAAAAGAATTAACGAACAACGAAATAATAATTCATTAAAGGTCGGGGAAATAACGAAGCGCATGAGCGAGGTCGACACGAATCTAAATTACCTGCTTGGTCGGCTATCCCTCGTCACCCAGGAATTCAACCAGATCAAACAAGGATTGGGGGCCGCTCTAGATAATATAAAAGCCTCTTTCAAGGAGGTCCAAGAGAGGGCTAATGACTTGAGTGGCAACCCGGGCCCTCACCCGGTGCCCGACAACTATAAGGAGCCGACGGATTCCTCGAGCGAACCCGTACTCAACATGACCTCGACCCGACGCTAATTGCTCTACATCCGTTACAGTGTACAGCTCTGTACGTTAAGTAATCTGATGCCGAGGATAGGGGCATCGTTTTTTTTTTTTTTTTTTTTTTTTTTTTTTATGTTGAAAATTTGATGCTTTTATGTAGCGTAGATTTGACGATCGAGTACTATTGTACTTTGATATGGTGATAGAGAAACGCGTATCGGTAAGGCCTGATTTATACTCGAAACTGTTAGATCATTAATTATTAATATTTCAAAACGATGCTGCGCGTAATATGCTAGAGCTTTTTATAACGCAAATGACCAATTGTTGCGTTATAAATGTAAAATAATTATAAAGCATCGATGAATAGAATGATTTTTTAAGCTTTTTTTAATTTCCAGAAAATTGTCAAAGGCGTGCTTGAGATTTTTTGGTTAGCGTAAATGAATTTGTTCGATCGATCAGAAGGAAAGAATTATAATTAATTGAATAGTTACGTACTCGAGCTATTGATACCGTAGCTTTACAACGATACGAAATCGTTTTTAAAAAATTATTCGGCTATTGAGCGAATGATTTATTAACACTTACATTCTTAAACGAATGAGTAATTAATTAATAGTAGTATCATCCTGATATTAAAAATAAATTACGTTTTTATTATTTAGAATTAATACGTAACATTAGGTATAACATTTTCATTAATGCTTAACGTTCTGTCGTCTTTATTAATAAGAATTACTCAATTGTTAGTTTAGAATTATAGTGATTTTCAATATTCTCACCATGAAATAAATATCTTAACTATTAAGATATAAGTTAATATTATACAACGAAATAATTATTTCTTTAATCGGTATGTATTATGTTAAATAGCATAAATATAATCTTATATTTCTCTTAAGGAGCTAATTTATTAGTTATTAAGAACATCGAATTGGACTAGTTGCAGTCTGCAACAATTAAAAACTACTGATAAATTGTATTTATAATTTTAAAACACTTGTCTCGATGCCTGATATGCCTATTTTCCAATTGTTTTTTGTTTGTTTTTGTTTTAAATTTTTATTTTAACTTATTTTCTTCTATCTTTTATAATTGGTTTCTCATAATTTCATCTAACGAAAAATTACAATAGTCTTAATCAACGTTTCCAAAATCTGTGAATATAATTTGAAATGTCTTTAAAAGAAAAACAGAAAAGAAAAATCACATGAAATAATAAACGTCAAACAATTTTCCTACACATAAGAATAAGGAATATATCCATTTGCTTATGTGCGAGCCTTTTCTTCTTTCTTTTTTGTTTTCATATGTATAAAATGTATTTTCACATATGTTTCTCTTTATGATTTCTTAAGCCGAGCAATGGCTTATGTCAAAAGTTATTTTTACAAGGTAAATAAGCACAAACAAACATGTGTTCAATAGAAAACTTATTGTTCGCATCATAATCTACTCCTGTTTATTGACAGCTACATTGGTGAGCCCTTAACGCGCCGTAAAAGCGATTCATTCTATATTATTTCTATTTAACGTTGCGTGATCTAATGAAAAAGTGTATTTTAAAAACTGCCGTTTTTAAATTCGTATTAAATAAGAAACTACATCACCAAAGCTATAATTTTATTAACATTTGCATTATTGAATCGAGGAGTAATTATGAGAATAAATATTCGGCGAGGCCCGCTTTAAGGGCCGATGGAAAGTTGAGTGAGAATATATTTTATCACGTAATTGAACTCGATCGAAACAATTTTGCTCTATGATTATAAAATGAAAACTTGTAGACTATTTTTACTATTACATTACGATAAACACTGTTTGTACTTTATATCAATATAAGATAATAAAATAAATACAAATGTCTCATCAATGATCAAAGGAGAGGAAATAAAAAACATAAATAAAGGTTTTAGAGTCAACTTAGTTTAATAAGCCCCCCCCCCCTCCATCCGTCCCTCCTTCCCTCCCTCCCAATCCCTAGTATTACGATATAATACAATTATGATAGTAGTATGATACAAGTAACAGTACAAAATAATTTTAAATGATTATGTACCCAAGCATCGTGAGAAGCACTTGGACGATGTTTGTCACATCCTAGTTACAAATTTTCATCTGGATTCCTTACTCTCGTTAGTAATTCGTCCTTACGCTTATTCTCCCTTTACTTTGTGACAGCTTTTTCTTCTTTTTTTTTTTTTTTTGTTTTTTTGTTTTTTTTTTTGTTTTGTTTAATATTGATAATTTAATTCCTTCCTTGGCAAAAATTTCTCGATGAAAATTAAAAAATCTCGATTACTCGTTTAATCACATTTCATTATATTATATATTATTTTATATATCATATTATGTATTATATTATACTTCTTTTTATTTTATTGTATTTTATTATATTTTGGAAGTTGTGACTTTATACAATGTTGTTGCTGCTGGAAGTGGATTTGAGTTTCGCCATGTTTCTTTTTATAAAATGTCGAAATTTAATAACGAAATGAATGTGGGTCATTTGCCTTCGATCCACTTAAATTTATAATATCTACCGTATGCATCAATTTTTATTATTATTAGTTCATTCCTATTGTTTCATTTTATCTTTTTAAAATTCATTTTGTTTACTTCTATTATCCCCGATGGAATTTTTGACATTCGATTCAGAAATCTGCTCTTCAACGCGACGTAAAATTCCCATAATTAATGATGTGCAGTATTATTATTATATGATTATGCGACAAAACGAACATTGGATCAACATTCCTCAACTTATCGATGATAGTATTTTCGATTTAATGTTATTTCTTTTAGTTTTTTACATTGTCATATTAGAGACGATTAAGCATCTGGTACGCCTATAAATTATTTGTCGACACATTCATAGATGTCGAATTGAAAAATTTAAGAATGAAAAAGAAACTTTGTTTAGAATGTTAAGTATAGAAATTCGAGCAAGTAGCGCTGATGCAGTGTTTATAGTTATTAATTTTAAAAACTAATTTATTATAAGAGGTATCGACATCGCTCAACACGAGATAGACAATGATTTTTTATATAATTTCTTTGCTTAGATTCATAGTTTGTGCAACGTTTTACTTAGAATTTGCGATAGACAAATTCTAGCCAACTTTTACAATCTATTTATGTGGCGAAAATTATCTAAAGATCATTTATACAAAATTTGTAGAAAATTGGTAAGTCACACGAGTTTTATTAAAAATTTTTTATAAATATTTTTAATAAAGAAATTTAAGCTTATGCATCTTTGTACATATGAGTTAAATGTAATGATGTTATCTAATAATGTACACGCTACTCTTGTACATCTATTTATGTAAATTCAAAATTTCAAAATGCATAAAGAGCAGTTTCTCACGACTCTTTTCAATTATGTATTTAATAAACTAACTTTTAAATATCATTACGCTACGAAAAAATATTCATGTAAATCGAAATCAATATATTTGTAGGTCGAGCACTGCATCAGCAAATTTATCTTGAAAAAATTTTGCATTTGACAATGAGAGGCCGGCAAAAAATAAGTCCCCTTCATTGTCCGTAGCACGAACAATGCCTTCGTGTATCAAGCAATCGATATCAGACGACCAACAAATGACTCTTTCACTCAACCGAAGAATGTACTCAAGCGACTCTTGTTTCAGCTCAGACCTTAGTCAAGACTTTCGCACGGATACACTTTGATCTATCGAATAAGAATTCTGACTTCTTATTTGAATGTGTATGATGGTGAGTACGCGCACTACGGACGTACCGTTAAAAACTTGCATTAAAAAGAGCGATTTCGCTGAATAGGATTAAATCCCTCGCTCCTTATATTTCCCTATTTTCGTACTATAGCATTCACTTTACAACGAAATATCTTTTAAGCGAACTGGCCAATTTGATCGCCGCCGACATTTATTTATTATGTACGAGATTTCCCTTGCTATTTATATGTTGAATGTCGGAAACTTTTCATTCACCTTACAATCCGAAAAATACACGATACCGATATTTATAATTTATCATCACGCTCGACTCTCCCAATGATTGTTAATCGTAGATAACTTTGAGTTATACAAACAATAATGTATACCAAGTATTAAATTGGATATAAATTAAGAAATAATAAAGAAATGCTTCTACTTTAATAATAATGCGAATGAGATAATTATATAATTTTATTAGAATAATCCATATGAAATAAAGAGGGCCTACTAACTTCAGCTAACTTCGTATAACTTAAGAATTAAATTTAATTTAAATTCATTTAATTGAAATAATATTTGATTAGATTATTAAATGACGAGGTAATAATTGAAAAAAAAAAATGTTACTGGAAGTAAAAGTTCTCTGACAATATAAATAATATAACAATATAAATAAATCAACCGAATGATGTAAATATCATTACATTTGCTGTAAATTCGTATCTTAATCGTATGTAGCTTTATGTTGACTTAATGATCCATTTGTTTCCTATATTTCAAGATTATTTTCTCATGCCCCAAATGATTTTCAAAAAAATCTTATTTTCTTCACAAATGAGAAAAGCAGCTATTGCGATAAAAAGGGATGATCGTATCTAAAGATTAAATTAAAGATCTCAATTTTTTTCGTACACTCAATTTTAATGTCTCCACTTATAATCGACTATGAAAATAATAAACTTTCTAAACAAAACAAAAATATACAGCTGGCTGAAATCACTAACAACCACATTTCTTTAATAATTAACTTTGTAATACGCTCTTCTTCCGTTATTCATTTACGTCGACTGAAATCTTGAATCTTTATCCCCCACCAAGGAGAGTCGAGACCTTATGTACGTTTCCAATAGACTTCTTCTTCTCCGTTACATATTATCGCAATCGCTCGCAAGAAGCCACTTGAAAGAAAAAAAAAATCGAATAAGAAATATAATGGAGATAAGGAAAAATAACAGTTTTCAAATTCCCGACAATTGGTGCGCTCATATCATTGTCGCCATTTTTCCATTCATACGCATAAATTAATGTATTTGCGATTCGCAAGTTTGTCGTTTATTTGTACAGCTGTAATAATTATAAAACAAATATGCTAATTACTCGGCAAAAAATTGATACACTAGCATGCGATTATTTCAGATTTGCACTTCCTATTGAGCTTTACATAGATTGATTAGAAGAACACACTGTTGTTGGCATGATCCAATGAATTCAAGAATATCGTATGATAAAAAAGAAAAAGAAAATAAGGATTGACTAAAACACGTTTGCGTACGGCGACATAATTCGCGTGAAAACGAAAATCTTTAGAATTAATTAGCAGTGGCAATTTTTTGTTTGCTTCATTTCACAATTATCACTTATTGCATTGCCTTTAATAATTTAGTAATCTAAGCTGCATTTTATATAGTCATTATTTTTTCTTCTCTTGAACACGCTTATTTGTGAACTTTTAAATAGAATTATGGAATATGATGTAGACATAAAATAATACAAGCTTATATAAGAATTTCTTCTTAGCAATTCATTGCTGTAAATACGTTTAAAAATTCGTTATTTAATTACAATCGAATATGAAAAATAGCAATTAACTAAACGCGAATTAATATTAAGATAAACGATTTTTTTTATACACATTTTTAACAATAATAATTATAACGTCATACCGATTTTTCACTCGATCATTTGTTATCTAAACATTTCGCAACAATTGTCAGAAAAGATATTTTTGATGCATAATATGTATAAAACTTTGATCCTTGTGCGACTATATGAATATGTTTATAAGAAAAGCTTATGGAAATTCCTAATGAAATTAAAAAGCCTAATAAATTAGATTTCTATAAGTTTATACATTGTTTATTACAAGCTTTTCAGAATCCTTGAAAGAAAAAAAAATAATAAATCGTTTACAATTTATTTACATGCTTTAATAAATCATAATATATTCATTTAATAATTATTTCAAGGATTAAAAATTATTTAAAGGACTTTAGTGTACGACTTTGTTGTTTTTAAAGGATTCGCCGACACATTGTAATGCGATGGTAAAACTTACTTTATTCGCACTTGATTGTGCAGAGCGCATCGATCATAAATTAATTATTAGCATTGATTTTGCATGTGCAAATTATAAAATTCCAGCTATAAACCGTATCGTTTTATATTAAAATCAAATCCCTGATAAATTTCTTATAACCAAGAGAAATGGAAATTTTCTGTTTTCTTTTTCTACTTTACAGTTACAAGCTCAGTTTGACTTTTAATCATTGAAAACAATATATCGCAAAACATACAGTACATACTAATGAAAATCCGACAAAATCATTTCTATAAAAATAATGTTATAATAGCTCTATGCATTGAGCATAATCGTACGGATCTTCATAAATCCTTCCGGGTTTCTCTTTTATATAAACCCAACCCTAGCACGTGCCTTTGTCCAAAATGTCTTTCAAATTTCAATAAACTCAATAAACCACACGGCACATTTGTATACAAGCAATCAATTCTTGATCGAATCATTAATATTCTTATGCATACACACACGCGCGCGCGCACACTAATTTATTATAACACACACATATATATATATATATATATATATATATATATGCGCACGGGAATTACCGTTATTAAAACGAAAAAAAAAAAATGTATCAGACGTAGACGACTGTTGCTCGATAATATTTTCATTATTTCCTTCGATACAATTTATTTGCCAGTACTTGCTTTTTATACAATTTTCTTCTTGTCGGGTATCAACTTTAGAGAGACGCCCACTAAATATACTTTACAGATATTGTATGATTATTTTCATTATGATCGATATAGCTATTCCATATTTTTATATAATTATTCTTCTTACATCATTTGTTTATCTTATAGATTTATTATAAATTATAATAATTATTAATAATTAAATAACAACGCTTCCTCTTTACTATTATTTATTTATATTGGCTCATGCCTGATTCGTTATCGCGCTTCTTTTGCTCCTCTTTTTATCCGCGGTGCGTTTACGGATAAACGAATTACTTATTTATTTATTTGTAATACGTGTTATAACGTTTTAATACAACCGGATTATCAACAAATAAATGTCTCTCTCACTCTTTCTCTCTCTCTCTCTCTCTCTCTCAATTTATTTATTTATTCGTTTATTATCGCTTTTCATTTACTTTTTGCTCTTCTATTCAAAATCAATCATGAATTATACGTTGCATTTATTCCGAACTTGTTTGTCGCGATAAAAAAATAGCAAAGTTATAATAAATCTTTAAAGTAACATTAGTCATGAAAATATGTAAATATGTAAACGTTTATTTCTGTGTTATATAATTTTACGATGCTGAATTCAGTTTATAGTATTATTCAAGTAGAATAGAGCTTGGAAAATGATCGAGAACAAGATATAAGTATATTTACGACAAGTAGCAGTGATTATTCGAATAATGATAAATACCGCTTTGTATGATTGTTTTTTTATTATTAAATTAATAAAATAAACAAGTGTAAACTGACAAAAATTATTTGAGAATAGGTTTTTAATAATTGCATTAAAAATTGTACCATTGTGTTATTTAGTTTTGTGCGATTGTTAAAACATTGTTCAACGTAAATAAACCATCGAAATGCTATTAGATTTAATTATCAATGTCTCTAACTTGATAAGAATCAAATGTAATCAATCTGCAATATTCATATTTTTCTGCTATAAAAATGTATAATAGTCTTCTAGAGGAATGTATAAATCTCAAATATTATATTAAATTAGAAAGTAAGAAGAATATAAATGATTTTGGAACTCGACAGTGCTTCAAGCTCGACTCTATTTTACATATTTTCTATTTTTCATTTGCTTTTTTACGTTTGTGTCTAAGCAAATAAGTATACATACATTTTCTTTAAACCCGTACGATGAGACGTATCTCTATTACAAAAGGACATTTTTATTGTTCCTTCAAAATAAAATTGTATGTATATATGCTCATATATATTTTTATTTTATTTTATTTTTTTAATTTTATTTATTTATATATATTTATATATATATATATATATATATATATATATATATATATATATATATATATATATATATATATATATATATTGTGTGTGTGTGTTTATTTATATATATTTTTTTTTGTTTTTGGTTATTTAAATTCAAAAAGTATTCGAACACTTCATGTATTCAAAATGCAATATAGATTAATTTTAGCCAAGAGTATATGTGGAAATATTGCTGGATACTAGTATCGTAAATCTTTGAGGTTTTCTTTATTTTTAGTCTCTCTTTGGATTTTATAATAAATATACATATAAATATATATATATACATGAACATATCGATATTTATATTTATGCAGACGAATCATAAAAAGGTCTGCTGTGGCAGCTTTTACGGATTTACAGAACGACGACCATTGCCTTTTCTCGTATTTGTTTTTCATCGAGCATAATCAAGACTTCTCTAAACATGTATATATATATATATGAGCTCTCTTTCTTTCTTTCTTTCTTTCTTTCTTTCTTTCTCTCTCTCTCTCTCTCTCTCATTCTCGTTCGCTCTTACGCTCACTTTCATGCAAGAACTATAATATTCGTGTCGACGCTGTCAAGTTTACCTCCTTTGCATATATATGATGCGTTGGATGCGAGAAGGCCGTATACAGGCTTGGACGACCTTATTCCTTAAGTAGTTTTCTGTTTATGTTTCTCTTCGTTTTATTTTGTTTAAAAAAATAAGACTCCGTATTATATTAATTATTATTTATAGCAATAATAAATTTCGTTATTAAATTGTCAATTAATTTTCTTCATGCAATAAAGGTGTCTTTAAACTCGTATTTGCAGCATCGTGTTTAAATTTTTATTTATATAAAAACAATGTTATTCGTATGCTATATATCATTATAAATATTGTTGTGTCCACTTAATATTTTTCAGTATTTTTTTTTCTTTTTGCAATTTTTTAAAAAACACGAATGTATACATCATAGGTAATTGTTATGAAAAAGCTTATGGCTTAACTAGCGTGAGGGTTTTAAAAAATTTAATTAATCAGCTAATATAAATGTCTAATTTTTAAATACTATTGAAAGAAGGGGACAAACCGGACCAAAAAATGGATAAAATAAAACGAAATAGTAAGCATAAAATTGATATTGTTTATAATTTATATTCCATCTAATAATATGCCGAAATGTAAAATCTAGACTATAAAATATTTAATTTACGGAATAAGGACATCGAGCCAAAATCTCATAAATCTTTCATATTATACCCATTTATTTTTACTGATAGAAAGCCAAAAATTTGCAGATACACAGTACAAGTTTCGCTGTTGAATTTAAAACGTCTTGTTACGAGCAACCGAGACCCTAAATACTGATTTCACTAAAAGCTCGAATATTTCGGATCGACTGGTAATGTGCAAATTCATAATTCGCACGCCGTCGTTGGAAGGTGGTGAAAAATTCATTTGGCCATCAAATTAACAGAAAAACTAACTGTGTATTTGTACAAATATTTCAAAGGAGACTAGGCGAAAATGCCACTTTTACGGGGATGTCGGATACCGACAAAAATTTCCGTTCCACTACCGTTTGTATTTTATAATTTACACAAATATCTTATCTTATTCGTTACTTCGTTCAATATAGCTATGCACTCACGAACCACCAGCTGCAACGTGCAATTGTCTATGAATCCAATGGATTGGGAAGTTAGGATTGGGTTGGGTTGGGTGGGGGATGGGAGATGAGGTCGAGGGCAAAGAGGCGAGGAGCTCGGTAACTTTCCCAGAAGCGTACACAACCGTCCACCCAAGATCTTGCCACCGCGTGCAAGCGGGATGAACGCAACGATCGGCAGCACCCAGCGCAGGCACCGATACCGACACCGACACCGACATCGACACCGACACTGGCACTGGCACCGGTAACAGCACTAGCACTAGCACTAGCACTGGCACTAGTACCAGCACCAGCACTAGCATTCAGCATCAACATCAGCAGCAACGGCAATGGCAACGGTAACGGCAACGGCAACGGCAACGGCAACGGCAACGGCAACGGCAACGACAACGGCATCAGCAACGACAACGGCATCAGCACCAACACCAGCACCAGCACCAGCTCGCGCTCCTCATCGGCTACCTCTAACAGACGGAAGCGATCGGACTCGAATGGGATCGAAGCCTCGAACGACGAAGGGACAATCAGGGGCCGACGAATAGGGCGCGAGGACGTAGTTGGGTCACTCCCCTGTGTTGGAGGAGTCTGGCCCAGGTGCTGGGCCGAAGGCAGGCGTCTGCTAGCTCGTGTTGCTGGAGGTAGATTTGCGCAGCGTGCGTTTGCCGCGCCTACGCGGGTGCGAGTGGTCCTAGCTGCTCGTCGAGGCGATCGGACTGACGGGACTGAGGGGACTGCGGGCCGAGTCCCGCAGGCAACCCGTCAAGGTGAGCACGAGCTTGCGACTGCCCGCGTGGTCGCGGTGCTCGCACAGCCAGACGCCCTGCCACGTGCCCAGGGCGAGCTTCCCGTCCGTTATCGGGATGCTGAGCGAAGAGCCGAGGAAGCAGGCCTTCACGTGCGCCGGCTAAAAAATACAATAAGTCGCGAGACTAGGATTAGGCGTACCAATGGCATTACAGTGTTTATTGACGACAGTCAACTGGGAAATTGGATCGCGCGGTTTCCACGTCTGCGACGAAAAATATTAATTTCACTCATCCGTACGTCATCCGTAATGGACATTATTTTTACGGCCATGCAGGGGATTGTAATGATAGGCAATTTTATTGTTATCCGACGCTTTACTTGTGCATCCTCATCGTGTACAAAGTGTACAATAGTCCTGTTGTTACGGTGATCTTAAGCGATGTTTCCGTCCTTGACTTAACCTTAAAATTCATTATGTATTGTGCTACTTTCTCTGGTAAACTAAACATTATCAGATGTATCAATGAACAATGGATTAATTCTTATTATGCAGATAAATATAGTGAAATTCAGGGCAAAGCTATTGTGCTTGGCATTGAATGTTGAAAACTTGTTGCTGAGATACTAGTCAATATTTGTATTATAAATTTCTTTCTAAAATTTCTTTATAATTAACTTTCGTCTTTTATGTAATTTCAGAATTTCTCTACTCGGCAATTTAAAATTAGAATCGAATTTACGATAATTTCTACTTCCTTCTGTCCCCGAAGATTTAGATAAGAATTCAATTCGATTTTAGGTTAATTGCAAAAACTACCCTGATTTCAAATCCGACCTAACATAAAATTTCAATTTAAATTCAAATGTTTTTCAACATCATTAATAACTTAAGAAAATATTTATTTTCTTAAAAATAATTTTTAATAAATGTTCTTTATATGTTAAACAAAAAGCTGAATCAGTATTAGATTGATTATACGAAAAATTTACAATTGAAACTTTATGTATATATATAGACAGAGAGAGAGAGAGAGATAGAGAGAGAGAGAGAGAGAGAGTAATGTGGAATATAAATATTTGTATAATTAATGAAATTATATAATTATACAAGGCCATATTTTTTTATCCATGTTACGTGAAAAGACTTATAGAGGACTAAAGTTTATTTAATTTGATCTTATTTAAATTGATAATAAAAATATCTATATTCATATAGTCTAGAATGAAGATAAACATACGCAACTCTTAATAATAAGGCAATACATTTTATATTATCTATCATAGATAAAGGTATATAATTTATATCGTTACTTGAGTTTTTGTTATTTTTCAGGCCTTAAGACTTTAATTACCATTGAAATGGATTTCTAAACTGTGGGAAAATATACAGGAAAATCATTGCACGAATTGCATTGTAATTAAGAATCAAATTCTTAAGTATCTCCTTGTTAAATAAAATAAATTTAAAAACAAAAAAATTTATAGTTTCATTTTACCATATCATCAGGCCCTTCACAACTATGTCTATAGGGCAATCCTTCAGGAACTATTTTGTTAAGCATCATTTCCATGTCATCCCTAACATCAGGATCCCAACTCTCATTTAACGCCAGACTGGCTGAAGTGTGAAGAACTGAAAATTCAAATTCAACACATTAGTGTTCACATCACTATGAAATTTCATTACATACAAAATGCCAATATATAGATATGTATAATTATTAATATTATAAAGAATAATCATTTTACAAATGAAAGCACAAAATTTGTAAATAAAATTTATTCTATAATAATGCAAATGATTCTACTTAATCGTATGAAACTTGATTTAGTCTCAAATTAACCAAAAAATTATACTTTTTAACGATTGATTAAGCACAAAATTAAACAATTTATTCGCTTCTGTAAGAATAAAATTGTTATACTGCATTACTATTAAAGTAAAATATTAGTGTACGCGTGTGTATTCTATTTGCAATTGTTTTTACTTAATCGTTCACCATTGCTTATAGTGTTTTCAACTTAGTCCAAATGTAGTTTAATCTACTCTTTTAATTTTACTCCGTAATATAATCAGAAAGTTTATTGTAATCGACGAAATTCGTCTTAGACATTATTGAAACGCAATCTCAATAGCTTTCAAGATTTTCTTGTCAATATTGAAAGAAACCAAAAGTAAATATTATATAAATAAGCAAAATTAGAATTTTGATATTTCTATTTTGATTCTCATTTTATGATTCATACAGTTTAGAGCAACAATCTCATGGTTTTCTTCCTGCTTCTACTTTTAAAAACTCTTTCCACGAAAACTAAACGATAAAATTCACACAACTTTCATAAAAGTCAATGCTCTTTTTCAATAATCATTTATTGCTCGGTGAACTAGAGAGAATTGCGTACAACCAACAACATTGGCAGTAAATGTCGCTTTAGTCTCAATATGTTCTACCCTCGAGATCCAGCTAGGATTTAACTAAATTAGAAGTGTCGGTCGACGCTTGCCAATAGGAAAAGGTACGCACTTTGTATATGACAGAGGCCAACAGAGAATTGGCACAGCTCTGGTATCTGCCTAAGTATTTCCTCGGTGACAAGATGCACGCCCCTATGCTGGGGCCTCAGGTTGATCTTCTTCTGGAACCAGGCGTTCCCGATCTGTATGCCCTTTTGTGACGATGCCATGTCTCTCTCGAATCTAGTGTCCCAGTGCTCGGCTCAACAGCTCCTTAGCATGGACAATCGCGCACTTGCAGCAACTCACGCACGCAATAGTGACCAAGAGCCGATGGCCCTGGCGGACGTTGCAACACTAGGTTTCGGCTCCTCGCAGAGGACGTAAACCCATATCGGGCCTCGAAGGTTGAGCAAGCGCCGCCGGGTCTCTTGGATCCGACGAGAACTAGGAGCGGCCGTGACTGCTGGTCATCAACCTGGTCATGCTCGTCCTCGACCTCCTCGTGGTCGTAGTCGTAGTCGTAGTCGTAGTAGTAGTAGTAGTAGTAGTAGTAGTAGTAGTAGTAGTAGTAGTAGTAGTAGTAGTAGTAGTAGTAGTAGTAGTAGTAGTAGTAGTAGTAGTAGTAGTAGTAGTAGTAGTAGTAGTAGTAGTAGTAGTAGTAGTAGTAGTAGTAGTAGTAGTCGTCGTCGTCGTCGTCGTCCTACTGCTTCTACTCCTGCTGTTGCTCTTCGGGGCTGGGCGTTATCGGCCCTGGACAGAGAAGCTTAGCCTCGGTTGACTCGCTCGGCACGAGACTCGTCGTGGAGAGGAGCGCGCGCGTAAAGGTTAGGCGAGATAACGATTGACTACTGGACGTGCACCACTCCTCGGCCTATCACAGTATCGCTCCCTCCTTGTCGACGCGAGCGCGGTACCTCTTCCGTCTCCGTCAAGCTCGTGCGGGGGTGGAACCGTCCGCTCTAGGCGGCTGAACTCGGGGCCCCCAGCGAGGAACCAGCTGGAATCGCTCACTGGCGGAGTGCCGTAGTGCCGAGTGCCCGAGGGGTTTTGTGTATGCGTATGCGTACGTGCGTACCTGCTTGTATATATATATATATATATATATATTTATATATTTATATATTTATATAGATGCGTTGCGCGCTGTGTGTGTGTGTGTGTGTGTGTGTGTGACGCGTGATGGTGTGTGAGGGGGAGGGGGCGGGATTGGCGAGTTGCGTTCCCTTTGGCCGAGACACCTACATGTCCCCCTCGTCCTCTAACCTATGTGCCGTCGTTGGAATGGGAAGCCCGTGGCAGCAGCAGCAGCTCGAGACTCCTCTCTGTCCGACCCGAGAGCTCGCGTGCGCGCGTACGAGCCTCCGCCGCGTATCCCCGTCCAGCTGTGCCTCGGTCCGTCCCCTTTCGAACCCTCTTATCTCCGATCCTCGCCTCTCTGTCTTATGCGCTCTCGGCCCTCGTTGATTTTACCTACATCCTCTCTGCACATGTATGCTTGTACGTGCGCGCGCCCCTGTTATATTCTGTGTAGCTGTGCGCGCGCCCCTGTTGTACTCTGTGTAACTGTCGCGCGCGCGCTGGCACCACCGTAACTATTATTGTTGAACAGACTCGTGGGTGGTATACTCGAGGTCCTTATGTGTATCCTCTTTTTCCATCCTCTCTTTCTTCTCTCTATCAGTATGCATTCTCCAGGGTTATAGGTGATTGCCATTGTCGTGATCATGGTCGTCGTCGTCGTCGTCGTCGTCGTCTCCGTCCCCTCTCCAGTTGAGACCTTCTTATGTCGCAACAATACGACATGCAACATTTCCTTTTTTTATTTTTATCATCTATAAGTTTTCAAAAATTAAGATAAACTTATCGATATTCTTCATAAGCATCTTGCCGCATTTTACTTATAATACGAGACTCTACGTGAAATAGCATTTAAAAATGTTTAATTTATTAAGATACTTGTTACACCCTTAAATTGAAAAGAATTTGCTATTATATACATCGATTGCATTTTATATATTAATATGGGAGAATTTTATTTAAATTAACGATAGACTAGTGATAAATAATAAACAATTGTAGCAATTGTATATACTTTCTTTCATTATAGGTAACGAGCCCAGTTCAAAATTATATTCCTACTATATTCAATGTTGTTAGAAAAATAAATTTCTTATGTTGCTTTTACAAAAATGCGACAAAATCAACAAAATCGACAAAATCGACAAAATTAATTATTAAATTCTATAGAATTTATGACCTTGCATGAACGATCATCGGTATCATCTGTAAAGGAAACTTATATTGATGTGTTTTATATGTGTTTAAATACATTATGCAAGCAGTGCCATAAATTTTCAGAAACGTATAGTTGAGCAGACAACTATTAATTTACTGCGGTATCGTTTATTAAATTATTTATCGCGTTTTATATAGTATTTGAAAAAAACGGTAAAATAATGGAGGCACCGTATTTGCTTTATTCATTATTCTCATAGTCATATTTTTTTGCGATAATGCGAATGAAACGTACCATAAAAAAAAAAAAAAAAATCATCGCATAAACAAGGAATAGAAGCTTTAAATACAAAGGCTTTTACCGCTTTATGGCGGATTTATAATTATTATTAATTATTAATAGTTCGATTGAATTGTTGAAATTATGTTTGATAAAGGGAATTAAAAAACACAGTTTATTAATGTTTTATAGAGCTAACAGTTACATATGAAGCATTTAAGCATAACATTAAAATGCTCAAGAATCATAAAAAGATGTACGTTTATTATAAATAATAATAACTAGTTTCAAAAAATAGAGTAATTATTAAGCAAAATTAGAAAAAGATAAATGAGATAAAACATGCGATTACGTACAAAACACAACAAAAATGCGAAGAAAAATATTACTGCAACACGGTTAAAAGGTAGTTTCATTGCCGGAATAAACTATGTTTATTTCATTCATTTTATTTTATTTTATTATTATTTTATATGAATAACAAATTGTTAATTGGATTGGGCAAAGAGTAATTCGACTTGGCCAAAGTTTATTTGAAATCAATATAATACTTCAAGCTCGACGAGGGAGGAAGATTTAATGACGCATGATGGCAAATTGAGCGAATGTTTAAACAAAAGAAAAAAACGCGTTTAATGTACCGACATTAAAAAAGTTTATTCAAATTGATTGATCGATAAATCAATGGGGCAGGAATTCGAACGAGGAGGTAACATATAACAATGAGAACGAATGCACAGCATCTCTTCCGATACAATTAGTAGCAACACGTATCAATGCATATCGGCTACAATGAATGAATACAACTCTTCTTTTGTTTTTATTTGAATTTTACTCGACTGTCCGAATAAAAACAATAGCCACTGTTAATTGGATTTAGCACCTCGGTGAGTCTGTTAAATACTCCAATTTTTATTTACAAAGAATAAATTGATTATAGCGAATGGAGTAGTCAGTATATTTTAAGTATTATGAATTTATCTATTAATTTTAATTAAACCGATGCCTAATTATGCAAAATGTTTAATAAATGCAAAGTTTATTGAATTTATTATTGGACAGCCGTTATCTCGCGTACTCTCTGAAGAAAACGAACTCTGTATCGGCAAGTACTCGATAATACTTGATGTACGAAACGAAGAAGTTGAGTTGCTCTTGACACACAATGCACGTGTATCGCCTCAGTATCATTCGAGATATTACTGTACTCTTTTCCAAGCGGATAGTACAAGATGCGAGTACTCTTCAGGGCGCTTCAGTCTCATTGTGCATTAAAAAAAAAAAAAAAAAAGAGCTTTGCAAAAAATTAAAAGCAGATGTCAGAAAGTCCATCGTAACGGTAGATCGTAATAGAAATTTAACGTACAATTTTTAATTTACTTACATTGATTTTAAATCGAATGGAGATTTACAGCGATGATACGGGGAAAAAAAAATGCAATTAATATTCTCCGATGTACAAGCATATTAAACTTATGTCTTTTATGTATGTATCTAAATTTTTGCATACTGTAATATATCGACACCTAATGCCACGTCACAATGAATTTGTCATGACATTTAGCTTTTGCATTGAGTGCGATTCGATAAAAGTCGACAAGAAGTAAATTATAAAATTCATTTAATTAGATGATCGCCGGGTTATAGAAATTAATATCGAATGAATTACGATATAGTAATGACCGGCTAAAACACACTTATATATATATATATATATATATATATATATTTGTATTTACTTTATTGAAGGCAAATGACGCTAAACGTTTATGAAAAACATGAACAACTTTTAAGCAATTATGCGACAGGTATAACACGCGAATTTCAACAAAAATAGCGTAAAAAATTATTCTAACAAGATTTGTGTAAATTCGTGAATTAAGTAACGCAGGCATAGCATGAGAGTAGAAAAATGTAAAAGCCATTTAAAGATTTGTTCGCTATTTTTGTTCGAAGGATAATACAAATGGGATGGGAGGGAGGGGCACATTAATTCATGCGATTGAAAAAGTTCATAATACAAAAATGTCCTCATCCTGATAATGCAAGCGCTAATTTACAAATATACGTAAGCGATGATTGTATGTACGTGTGCAGCGCAATTTGTCATAGCCCAGTCAGCTTTAAAAAATAACTGTGCGTGCACATTGTAAATGATTTTTACGATGTGAAGCTGACAAGCATTGGCGAATAGTTGGAAAAATAAAGAGAAAAAATTTTAATGAATAAAATGTGATAAATATATGCAGAACTTTTGTTTTATAAATGATAAAAAAGCGATTTACAATTTATGTTTAAATGCTCTAAGATTAGAAGCACTGGAATAGATGTAGACTACTAATACAAAAAAAAAAAAAATAATAAAATAAAATAAAATTGAATCGACTATAAATATTTTCATCGACGAAAGGATGTATTATTTATTCTAGTAACTGTTTAAGCCTTAACAGCGATAAATAATAGTCGTAAATTATTGATAGAAAAAATAAAAGAAAAAAGGCTGTTGAATAACTAGAGTGAAGAAAGATCGTTACATTTTATAAATATAACGCTCTATGCCCTTGATGGCGATAAAAAAAAAAAATGTTGATACACCACGATAACAAATTATAATTAATAGAATGATATACGCGATAACTGGTATACTGAAATAACTGAGGTAAATTTATCAAATTTAGAATTTCTGTGCGCATTATAAATTAATATACTATTTATTCTATAATTAGAAGGTTTTTTTTTTTTTTTTTTTAATAAAAGTTCAAGGCCTCTAACAAAATTATTATATTTATTGAAAATATAAAATTAGTACGTAAGCTTATGTCTCTTGGTATGAATTTGAAATAAAAGAGCGGCACAATGTCAAATAGAAATTACTTTTTATAACAAAAAAAAAAAAACAAAAAAAAAAAAACGAAAAAACGTAATCCAGCAAAGGTGTCATATCATCGTAAAGAAGTTTTAATCAAATGGACGAATTTTATCAACATTTTTAAGGATAATATTAATACAACAAACATAACATAATGTACAATAACATCGAGGATATTATTTTATATATAGTTTCGATGAATCTATGTCGAATCCTCCCAGCATCAACATAATTCTCTGTCATTTATTATAAATTTAACAACAATATCGAAATGTTGCAAAGTGAAAGAGATAAAAAAAAAAATCATCACTGCCAATGACAATAATTTTTATCTTTAATGCGCTTTGTTCAACGATAGCTTCCACATAATTAGCAACATCATTGTCGAGCATCATAATTAATTGCCTGTAATTGTACAATCGATAACGTTTACTTTAAATTCACAACGTCCATTACGTAATCATATTAATGTGAGCACCGCAGCTTAATATTAAAGCGTAGATCAATAGTTATTTGAATATTCGAGCAGGCTGCAATGTAATAAGCGTGCCCCGATAATGCTAAAATAGCATATATGTGCATTCTCGACTGCACCTGTCACGAAGGGCTTATTCCTCGTGCCTCTCGGCATGATCGAATCCATCCAGTGAACGTAAATTTTCACCTTGATCTTATCGATACACATTACGCTCGCAAACTTCAGAACAATTAAAAGTCAAAACCACAACGCCGCGCACTCGACGTCGTATTTTACGCGAGGTAAGTTACCCCTGCGGTGCAGCACCGACCGACCGACCGACCGACGACCGAGTGACTCTTGACTGCATTGCATCCTATACGTATACGCGCGCACACTCGCGCACGGCTCGCGCGTGCCCATCGTAATGACGAATAGTATCAGTCGGTAGGTAGGCACACGGGTGAGTGAGTGAGCGCGTGTGGGAGCGAGCGAAGAGTGCCAAAGTGGAAAGATTAGAAAATCGCACACTTCTCGAACTCGAGACGAGAGATAGAGGGAGGGATATATATATAGAGAGAGAGAGAGAGAGAGAGAGAGAGCGAACGTAGTAGTTAGTGTATACGACACGACTCGGCTCGTATTAAATGGTTGCACCAACGAGTAGATAATTGTTAATTAATTTGTATTGTATAAATAGTTATATTCTAAATTAAGTGCAGTCAGAGGCTCTCGTGGCCCTTGTGAAAATAATGATTTTGCTCGAGATAAACAATAGGATAATCGAAGAAACATTGAACAACAAAATAAAAAATGCCCTGGCTGGGTAAGTCAAGTTCCTTGCTTATATTTCTATAATCCTCCCGTCCAGCACGTCGGCCGATCCTATTATTATTATCGTTCTCGCGAACGTTGTTACGCGGGATGCGTCAAAGATATCCCGGCTGGGCGGTGTCTAACCTCCTCCGTACGTTCATTTCACTGGACGATACTCTCCCTGACCTTATATCGCTATTTCCGAGCACGGATTGAGCTTAATTTTCGACGTGCCTCCTCTCCTTTTACTATCTCAATGAACAACCTCACAATTCCTTCACGCGAGACTCGTCGTTTGACGTTCTACTTAATATCTCTACATTTTTCAAATGCTTTGAGTAATGTAAGAGCATATTGAGCTTGCGACGCCTTTTGCCTTTTGCCTTTTGCCTTTTGCCCGTCTGTCACATTCTTTGTTTTGCAAACAATTATGAAAAAAAAATATACGAGCTTGCTTCTCCATGAAATATTTGCTTTGACAGTGGAGCAACAAGCCTTTTGCATGGTTTTGTAGTTAGAAATGTCGTAGCAAGTCTCATTATGATGGAAACTCTAATGGATATGGATTGTTCATTAAAAGAGTTTTTTTGGCATATGGGCATTTATGTCCTTAGTAAGAATCTTACAAAATTATTAGGCACACATTTTTTTTATCCGTAATTGGGTTTAGATCAGTTAAGACACCTAAATATCCATCGTTTTTTACTACACCACTATATCAAGTGCCATAATTGATTAACCTTAAAGGAGCATGTAGAGTCGTTTAATTTATTGAGTTAAATGTCAATATTTGACTTTGCTTGTCAATCGTGCTAATTACTAATGAATTCATTATTCGTTCGATGTACATTTCATTATAATCTATTAATATGACGATATTGTTTCAATTTTAAAACCCAATATTTCAGTGGTAAACTCGAATCAACGGATGTTATGGTAGCAGATTTCGATGGAGTTTTATTTCATATTTCCAATTTAAGTGGAGATAAGTCAAAAATCAGAGTGAGTGATTTTTGCATCCCCTTTTCTTTTAACAATTTACCAAATAAGCTTGCTAATATCGTTAATATTTATAGATAAGCGCGCTACTCAAATTTTACAAGCAACTGCAAGAACATGGCGCGGATGATTTACTCAAGCGAGAATATGGTGCTTATTTGGTAGAGCCAGAAACAGGTAATTCGAGGGAAATTTGTGAAGTCGTATAATTTTTTGTAGAAAAATAATTTAGCACCGTTGACAGTGCTCCCATTTATGAAATATGTATGTATTACATATTAAACGCGATGCTTCTTTTTTAAGGATATAGCGTTACAGTGATGATTGATCTAGAGAATATACCGGAAGACTGGGAGGTATTAGTTAAAAAAATTGGATTACTCAAAAGGCACTGTTTTGCCAGTGTATTTGAAAAGTATTTTGATTTTCAAGAAAAACTTAGCCAGTCTACAGAAGATTGTAGTAAGCTTCAGAAAAAAGCCATTATACAGTACAGAGACCAAGAAATCATGTGAGTAATATCATTATTTGCATGCAGCTTGAATTTTCAAATAAACAAATGCCTTGCAATTAAATTTAATAAAATGCCCTATGTTTTGATAAAGATACGTCGAGGCAAAAAGTGATAGAGTGACAGTTGTATTTAGTACAATATTTAAAGATGTGGATGATATGGTGATTGGTAAGATGTTTTTACAAGAATTGAAGGAAGGAAGAAGAGCGAGTCACACAGCACCACAGGTTCTTTTTAGTCATCGTGAACCGCCTTTAGAATTGCAGGACACTGGCACAATAGTAAATGACTGCATCGGATACATAACCTTTGGTATTTTTATTGTCTGTATAAAAAAGAAATTTTCTCGTAAATTTAGAAATTCAGTACTAATGCGCATTGAATAATAAAGCTTAGTAATCTTCGGTTAGATTGTAAAATATTAAAATACTTCTTATTTAATAGATGTTTAAATAAAAATATAGTGCTTAACAACTATTGACCTCGTATTATTGATTAAATGTCTTTATTTATTATAGTATTATTTCCACGGCATACGAATCCAGATGCACGCAACAATACAATCGATTTAATACACATGTTTAGACATTACCTACATTACCACATAAAGTGTAGTAAAGTTTATATTCATTCGCGAATGCGCACCAAAACGTCTGATTTCCTGAAAGTATTAAATCGAGCTCGTTCCCAACCTAAAATTACAGAGAAAAAAACGATTACGTAAGTATTTTGTAGATAGTTTAAAGATATTTAGCGAAACTACTGTAGAGAGAATGTATTTTTCTTTTCTTACAAAAGATTCTATTCAAATGTCCCATTACACAAGACGAACTTTTACAATAGTTTTGCTAAGAGATATTTGTTTAAAATTTATCCTTATTGAAATTGACAAATATATATCTATATGTATATTCCCTTTATTATAGGGGTCGAACATTCATTCGAAAAGAATGAACACGACGAGTCGATCGACAAGAATGTTAATATCTACTAAAATGAAGTTTAAACACCAAGATGAAGAAAATATTGCCTCGGGTCATGCGTGCTAGATAAATTTCTGGCCAAAACTGTACTTCAAATGAAAGTTGCTATTGGCCCTATAGGTTTAAGAATTTCAAGATCCTGTTGCCTCCGCTTAGTCGGATCCAAAAATATATAAGTCTTTAGAGCGATACAGGTTATACAACAAAAAGTTTTCGAGTCACATATGCTAGTTCTTCAAAACTTGATTCGTCATGTTTATCAATTTGAATAAAAATAAAATCGAGTGGAAGTCGATTTATTCGTGAATACTATGTGACAATAGATTGTTAAATAGGATCTTTAAGAAACTAAGTAAAAATAACACGACGTACAATCACGAAATTAAAAATTCCGTGAGCCCTTGATTACTGTTGTGAAATACGCTTTTTAAATTGTTGTATTACGTTATCTTTTCATTATTAATGTTTATAATTTAGTTTCTGTTCGGTTATTGTATTTTTTCTTATATTTTTATTAATTAATGCAATCCATTTAATGAGTTTATTATGTAAGATTTTTATATATTGTAAACATTACATCCGTGGGAAAGCAAAAATACTCGTGTAATGTCGAATAATTGCTTGCAAAAATGAGTAATGAAGTGCACGAAACGAGTCATTTTGTTGTTTGGATGAGGAATTAAACGTTCTTAGCAAGCGGTGAGCGTAGATAGAGAATTATTTCATACCGTCAATCTAACCAAATTACATCTTAATACCGTACGCTTAGCCTGTATCGCATCAGATGTCATCGGAATAACGATAACGACTCTGTCTACTTGTGTAATTAACAATGATGGTACATTGATAAAACCATTAAGACGAGGGAGTGTGCGAAAGATTTGAAAAACGAAGCGGCTAATTGTTAAGGCACTATTTAGTGTCGCAAGCACGTAACATAGTATATTGTTTTTGTAACAAATGATTTTTATTTTTAATTTTTATCCATTATTACATAATATTAAGTAATAAGATAATAAAAAAATATTGCCAATTTTTTAGTTACTTGAAAAGTTTATTTATATATCCACACGCGTATTGATTTTACGGGGAAAAGTGCATTTGCGCGTGAAAGGTCTGAGAATTAAGGAGTGCCCAGGGATGATGATTATCTACCACACCCTCGGTCGCTCACAAATACTACTTGCATTAGTTGAAAGTAGCTCAGTCACGGGAAATTCGTCCGTTACAGAGAGTCGACTTTTCAATTCTATTTCTTTTCGTTTTAATACCTTTGCTCGTCAGTGCAAATAATAATTTTTTAACTGTCGTAAGTATGATATTAATATGAATAATTGTAAAAATTTATTTAGATAATAATAATTTAGATAATCATCCAATGTAGCTTACAATTGTGTTTAATATATATATATATATATGAATTGAAAGTAAATTTGATCGAATGATTTATTTAACGATTTATTTATGATATTTTAACGAGTATTTTATATTAATTAATAGGTATGTTGCAATAGTGCCTGTACGAATCACAATTATTACTAACGTAATTCTACTTCAATTTTCAGCTAAATATAGAATGTGAAAATGGAAACATCGGCTATTTTGTCGGACTTATCGTCGCCATTGACACTGCCACCGTGTTCAGGGGAAAGCACAAATATCACCGGTGAATGCATCGAGCAGGAGACAGAGCCTGAATGGGAGAGCGAAGTGGTTGGCATTAAAGTATGGCAACTCGTGGGAATTATTCTTTCGGTCATTCTGGCTATTACAATAATGATATGCTGCTGCATTAGATTCAGAATACCAAGGACCAAGCAAGAGATCGAGGCTGATTATATTAGAAAAAAGTTGACTCGTAACTTCAGAAAAGAGTTGGCTAAGATTCACGACAAGGAAATGGATGAAATGGATTTGAAAAGAGGTGACTGACTACTTTAACATTGGATTAGATATTATCATGATCAACTTGCTATAAATGAATTAAACATAAAAATTAAAATAAAGCTTGTCGATCTAAGATTTGTAAATAAAGGATCTTGGATTATAAATACAAATGACAGGGCTGTAGATAATAAGAGATAAATTCATAAGATATTTTTCCTTAGATTAATATCATATATAATTTTTATTATATATAATATCATCATATAATTGAATGGCAGAGATTAAGAATGGGTTAATGAATAATTCGGTAATAACACTCTTGTACATTTATAATATAATTGAAATTTATTTATTTACTGGAATAATACAATAATATTACACGAGATTGTAATTGTACAATTTTTGTAATTAGATAAGGTCGAAAGTGGTAAATTAAATGTAAAATAATTATTGTAATTGAAGGTACATCAGAGTAAAAAATCTGACTTACTTTTTGTAATTATGTCGAACAATCATTTTGTTTAGCAATATGTGCGCGTGTGCGTGCGTGCTCATGTATTTTTAACGCGTCAGTTATTATTCTTGATTGTTTTCTTTGTATTTTATAGCTTTAGATCGTGTAAACGATGTTTTGAGCGCCGTAGAAACGGATGAAACACAAATGCAAGATAAGAAAATAATTTACAAGAGGTCAGATAGAGGATTCGGAACGAAGTTCAATGCAATGTTTCAGGATATGCGAATTCGGTTCAATAAAGAAGAACATACGGAATCGAATACAATGATTTAGCTTACTTAAAAACTTCCTTAAAACTGTTGTATTTTTAATTCGTATAAAGGAATTTGTTTTTGTATTTTGTTATTCATTGTTCATTAACCGTTTACTATGTAATTGAGATTTATGAATTATTTGTATATGTCATTTGTAAAGTTTATTTGTTTCTATTTGGCTTTTCCAAAAACTCAAGATTGCATAATATTTGAATTGTCGATTCAAGTTTATATACAAATGTTTGCTCGTTGCCTTTAAATAGTTCGAAATTTTGAATAATTTAATGAACTCTTAACGCTTTCCTTATTTACTGAAATATCTCGTGTTTATGTGTATTGAGCTTAAAAATCAATAGTTGGCCTATCACGTACTATCATATAAGTTAAAAAAATAACACTTGAAAGTACTTCTTATTTTATCAATACAATATATGTCATATAAATTTTCAGAAGTAACGTTTTTCACACTTTTTGGCCCTGCCAACGTGGTGATTTCTGTGCTTGTGCTACAATTATCTTATTGATTTACTGTTTGGAATCAAACATACCTAATCATACACTTTACAGCTATAATAGTGCACAATATCTTTACATTATTAATAGAGTTATGTTTAAACAATGGATAAAATTATCCTGTAACATGATAGAATTTATTAGACTCTCGATAACAACACTTTATACGATTGTGCCTTGTATTCTATTAAATAAAAAAAGAAATAATTATCGAAATTCATTCGGTCTATATATATATATATATATATTTATTTATTTATATATATTTTTCTTGTTTTATCCATAGTATATATAAATTAGACAATTTTTCATGCAACGGTAAAATCTACATTAACAGATATATTTTGTACATTGCAGTCGGTGGTCTATAAACTATTTTACAATAGCGGCATATTTTGTCTTTGTCTACAGCCACGAAATTCTTAGGTAAATATTGTTTTGAAAATAATGCTCCTCTCAATGTTCTCACAGAGCTGAACAGTGCCATGTTCATTATTAACTGTACGCCACGTACTTCCCATTATCGTTACTTTTTCACTTAACACATAAAACATTTGTTATAAATGCCCATTTTTAGTAAAATTAATATACATTTGCTTATACGGATAACAATCGTTGCAGCTCAATCGCTGTACTACAATAGTCATTAAATTTTATTCATCTATGACTTTTAAAAACGACGGCTGGCGTGTTGCACGTTTTTGAATGTGACAATTGATCGATCAAAAACGTTTCGCGGTAATAATACTTTGTATCATTACTATCATTAATGAATTGTTCTAATAATGGAGAATCAGTGTTTCTTAATACTGGAGGAAGCTTCATCGTACCTATGGTTTATTGTTTCAATTATTAAAAAAAAAAAAAACAAAAAAAACTCTCACACGACCTTCTAAATGATTATCCCGCGTTACAATTAACATTACATTATATCGATAAGAAATGTAAATGTATGCAATACAATTTTATTGATGAGACTGAAAATATCTATTACCTTTTGGTTAAATACTTATTATTTATTCTAGACAATTTTCTACGTTTTATAATAAATATTGTAAACTTCTCTCAGTATGTTTGAAACGTTATAAAATTGCCTGTCTTTTTATCTCGGAGATCATATCAAGTATTATAAAATTTATTCGTCAAAAAATGTACTTTTGCCCAGCCCTGTTCACGTATAAGCACAAAATTCTTTATTTTTCAATATATGTATTCGAGGTGTTTAATTTAGCAAACGCTTCTGCGCTCTTGCGATGGTTTAATTAACCTTAGAATATCAATATATTTAGATATCACCATTTAATACAAGTATTTACGGCTATTTACGGATAATAAATTATCGTGTGTAATGTTTTTTTTTTACTCTTGGTACACATTTATAAACGACAATTGGTCATTGTAATTAATCACTTATTCAAATCGATCGAATGAGATTCCAGTGTAATTTTAACTCTAATTTATTGAAAGTTATATTAAATAAAAGAATATAAATGGTCTTTTTGAAATTTTTTATTGTTCAAAAAATAAAAAAATAAACATTTGTAAAATAAGTTTGGTGAAGAAAACAAGGATGAATATTTGAATTTTAAAATGCATCGTTGGTCTGACGCTGTCTCATGTTTCTCCATTTTCTCCTCGTTGATTGTTTTCGTTTCACAAATACGTAAAAATTTGTACAGAAACATTAAAATTGTACAATAGAGGAGCATAGTTAGTAATTTTGGCTCGTTGCCTTTGCAATTGCGAGCATCATCCACTAGCAATATAATATTATGTACATAGTCGAACTAAAGTATCGTCGATGACAGATCATTTTCATCAGCTTTCTTCCTTGATAATAGTAATGTAACTCGTCACATTTCTAAACATTACTTCTCGACTCATTACAAATTATATTGATTTATACAGATTATTACAAAATAATTATATTTCATTGTATGCTAATTGTTAATACAATCAGATATCAGATCGAAACACCTGACTTTAAGAGTGCATGTGTTATTGTTTTATTTTTGCATAAATTTTACCGACCTATTTACCTCTTATGATTAGCCATTGTATAATTAGAATAAAAATCATACGTAAAACCATATTATCAATCTAATTATGGATGAAAAATATTCCTACTATCAAGGAAGATTTGTAAAAATTCATCATAAATTAGATACGCGAGCAATTCCCTCCTGGCAATACGATAAATTGCACAAAGAAATTACTAATAAATCCATTTGTTTATACGCAATTAAAATTTTGAAGCACAATATTTGTACTTAAAAGCTGAATGAAGCATAAGTAAATAATAACAATAATAACGATAAAAATAATAATAATTAAAACAAAAAAAATGGCTTGGATTTAGTTGATTTTTTTTTTTTTTTTTTTTTTTTTTTAACAAATTTGTGCATAAAAATGGTGTCTCTAAATAGTACGACAACTCAAATTTTAAACTTTACGCAACGTAGAGTAGTTCGGCACAGTACACAAGGATATCGTTTGAATAAAGCATCTTTCCTTATTTCTTCTTCTCCTCCTTCTCCTCCCCCTCCCCCTCCTTCTTGTCCTCCCTCCCTCCCTCCCTCCCTCCCTCTGCCCCTCACCCCGTCACCCACTAGGCGTAAGTACGGCCACTTTGATCGGACGTATCTTCAATTCTCTGGAATGCTCGATATAAATTATACACAACTTTTCACTGGTGCATATTACTGACGTGTCGTTAGTGGGACAGTCGTCGACTTTGGTAAAAGAAATGGGATGCTCGTTTGCGATTAAGGAAGCGTAAGGACGTGAGTCCCGGGTGCCGATGGTAATGCCGTCGCTCAGCTCCACTTTTCGCTTGCAACGTGAACGCATCCGGATTGCAAACATAAGGTGAAACATTGACATAAGGTGACATGAGCCAGGCATGGGCGTAGCTCCGAGGATGCCAACGAAGGCCTACGTAAACAGTATGATGAACAATTTTAGCGTACGGAAGCTGCTACACCCGCAACTGCCTACACAATGGATAACACAACGGACTTGACACATAAAGAGATAGCGACGGCTAAGGGTAGGTCGAGGATCCGTGCGACGTCGTAGCGTCATCTATCGCCCCAACACAATCGATGCAAGAACATTAAGCTGGGAGAGGAGGGGGGGGGGGGCGGTCATCGCAGCCGCAACCCGGGGCGAGAGTCGCCCGCCGCTCTACCTGGAGCGGCTCTCCCCAAAATCAAAGAATCGACAAAGAATCGAGGCGCGGTAGTCTCCAACGGGGCAAACAAACAAATCGGATCCTACGCTTGAGGCTGCCTGCTACCTCGGGAGGGCAGATCGACACGGCCTTCACGGCCGCGCGCCTGGAGGAAAGAAGCCACCCCAGCGAGGCAGTCTTCGTGTTTAGGCCGCCTAGGCGTGCCTTCACGATATCTTGTTCCTCCACCATGAGAATTTCATCTTGGGGCTTGGGTACTGGAAGCTAATGAGGGTGTGGGGAATGAGGGAAAGCATAGGGAGGAATCCGGCGCAGCTCCTGAGTTTGGGCCGTTTCTGTCCGGGTGGTTCCTTATGGTGGCGACCGGCCGAGTAGGGATAGGAGCTCGCCAGGGGCTCGCAACGGCTCTCGGCCTCGGGAAGATGGCCACCAGTCTCGCGACTCGACATCCGCAGGATCTTCGAATGCCCGTGGACCTGGGGCCCACCGGGGTTCGCGAGGGCTTTGATCGAGGCTCGTCTGTACACCTTGGAGCGGGATCTGGTGGACGAGGTCGAGAGAGGCCGTAGCCAGGGCCTGAGGTAATGGACCGCCGGTAGGCGGGATGAAGATGATGACGATGACGATGAGGAGGAGGAGGAGGATGAGGAAGAGGATGAGGATGAGGAGGATGAGGATGAGGCGGACGAGGATGAGGATGATGTTGATGATGATGATGATGATGATGATGATGATGATGATGATGAAGGAGAGGCAGAGGAGGAGGAGGAGGGTAGGGCCGCGGCGGTCGCCCCGTCGGGGCCTGCGCTGCTGCAGGCGGCCAGCGACGAGGCGCCCACGAACCCTCAGCTCGGAAACTTGGAGTAGAAGGCGCAGATGAGGTCGTAATTTTTGAAGCGGCAATACTGGACGTCGCTACGCACAAAGTCGGCCTCGAGCCCGAGGCAGTCGGACTGCTCGAGCTCACGGGGCGTGTCCGCCGCCACGGACTCCTTGTTCGCGAAGATGCTCACGACGAACTTGCCGGGCTTGAAGGTCTTGAGAACGCGCTCTATCACTTCCTCGTACGAGGCCTCCGGAATGTTGCTCTCGAATGACACGTAGGAGAAGTCCGGCTCCGGTGTTATGTGGATCGTCATGTAGCTGCCCTGCAATAATAAGTCCAATGGATGTTGGATGATTCGGTCGGTAGCTCGAGTCCCGGTAGCTCGTGTCCCCGACGGAATTTTTCTGCCGATCGGAGCCTGCCCGGTTGGTCGTTCTAATTATAATTGAAAACACTCGTCGCACGCTATTCTGGCCCCTCTCTAACGCTGGGCATAATGAGGGATAGAGGAGGGGAATGCCTCACGATAGGATAGAATCCGAGTCATTGCGGGAAACAGAGAGAGAGAGAGAGAGAGAGAGAGAGAGAGAGAGAGACGCGTTATTGAAACACAAGTCATCTTAAATGTCCATTTAAGTTTAAGTCCATTGAAGCTAATTGGACAAAGATGAGCGTAAGAGCCACGGTTACAATGGAAATCGAATAAACGTATTATGCCACGAAGTTTTATTAGAATAATATAGAACTAAAATATGTAAGTTTATGATTTATAATAAAGGCGTGGGCGGGGGGGCAATTTTCTTGTCGCGCGCGTTAAGTCGCGCAAGCGCGAATGAAGAATTCGAAGCTATGTAGGCTATTTGAGCGAATAGCGTTAATGTGTGTCGAATGCCGCGAATACCTGAACATTATCGAACGATTAGCTTTATGTTCCCGTCCGACCTTATTACCGAACTATGCTTCGCTTTAGGAAAGCTCACACGTGGCCTGGAGCGCCGCGTGGGAATACTCACGCTTTTGGAGACACCGTTCATGGAGTAGCCGCAGGGTTCGAAGAGGAAGTCGTCAATCAGCATATTAGGTATGAGCCTGTCGATGCCGGATTTTTGGGTGGCCTCGGCCGCCGACGAACAGATGTCACGGGTAAAGATGGCCATGACCTCCGGGTCGAGATGGGTCATTAGGATCTCGAGAGTCTGGTCAGGCTCGCGCTCGCCGTTCTGCGGCTGGTAGCGCTTATCCCGGTTCAGGGTGTAGAGGTACCAACAGTCGTTGTCCTCCGAGCCCAAGCAGTAGGCCTCGCCATCTGATCGTTAATAAACATCAACCAATGTCCTCGTTTCATTTCACATCCAATATCCATGTACTTTAGCTTTTGCCTTTCTTGCGCTTCCACGTTACTAGTTGCGCAATTCTCATTAATTATTCGAGATTCAATTATTTTACTTCAATGTTCGAGACGAGGTTGCAGCGTTTTTCTTTTGTTATGCCCGCCCTTTTAAGGGTCAAAGAGCTTCCTATGCTATCATCGAGAAATGTTAATGTTAATAATGAATCGTTGCATCACTATAATACATTTTCTCTAAGAGTCACGATCTTATTTAAAAATTCATTTCCGATAAAAATGTAGATAAAGACAATGGTAACATTATGTAAAATTATTCATTATATAATATAATATCTTATTAATTGGTTTATTCCTTATTTGACAATTATTACAATTGAAAAGCTTTTATTTTTATAAAGAAATCAATGTTTTGGAATTTTTCTTTCATCTCAAATATTTTATAAATACATTTGTACGATTGCTTCAATACAATATTACCTATCTGTCGCAGATACTTATTGGTTCAATAATTTATGTGGGTAAAATATCCAAAGTATTTTTTTTCTAAATTATTTTATTTTATATACGACTTATCGGACGTTTCCATTTTAGCCTAAGCAAGTAGTGATGGATTATGAATGATCAGACCTCTTATCTCTTCATTATAACACTTGTAATTTCGTTAGTGAGTAGACAATGTTTCTTTTTCATTTATCGTTTCACAATTCGTTTAGTCAAAATAAAACAAAAACAAAAGGAAAAACAAACGAAAAATATAATAGATAGTACTTATGTCATTCATTTTGTTATATCATTAAAAATGTATCGAACTTTTTAATATTCTGTGCTTTAAGCGCGAAGATTATTTTATTTAATATGACAAATCATTGCAATATATTTCTAATGTAATATTACTACTTAAATATTCTAATTGTCGAATGAAATGTACACTAGGATAACGTTTTGTGAATTCTTAAATTGAATTGTGAATTGAACAATAAAATTTATGTGAAATATAGGATGTCTAATGAAATTATTAAGAATTAATTTATAAAATGAATAATAATCGACATAAAGTTATTGTTCGATTATTGTAAGGTAGATTATATTTTGCTGAGAGTGAAATTTTTTTTCCATTTGATAATAATCCACAATCAATTACGAAAAATAAATAATCTTTATATTTTTTCATATTAAGTAGTGATGCAGCTGAATTAAGTGATAAGTAGTTTTTAAAATTGAAAATTTCATTATAAAACAAATGATCTTTACATCTATTGTAAATTCTAAAGAATACAAACTTTGCCAATAAATTTATAATTAGACATATCAATTATTTCTTGTGCAATAGATTTATGTATATATATATATATATATATATTTAGTTATTTATTATTTTTTTTAAAGATATATCTATTAATTATTTATTTGCAATGTATAAATAATTTGTTTGTATTATAATTACATAACACATTGTAACATTCGATAATAAAAATGTCGATTCTTTTGATTGATTAGATAATTAGTTAAGAAATTAGCGATTCTATTATTTTAGAAATTAATATTTTTTGTAAACGTATTTTTTCTAAAATATCAGATAAGTTCATAAGGAATTTAATAACACATTTAATATTTGTATATTGTGCTCGTGATATACTTATATTTACGATATTTCTAATTCGCTTACATGAATGTGTTTTTAATTCTTTTCAGTGTGTTGATATTGTTTTATTCTAAAATTAAAATACGAGTTTTGTTATTTCATTTGAATTTTCCAAACTCTATGTTTAACTCCCATATTTAATAAATAATACTCACCAGGAAAGAAAGTGTCCAATAAGGCAACTTCTTCCTCAAAGGCTTGATGCGGCGATATTTGTAATTCCGGTCGTTTATAATTCTTGCGCGAATAGAACAAATCCTAGAGAGAAAAAAATGGCGAATGAGATTTGGAATTAAAGATTACATTCTGTAATATATCTACAAGCGTACATATTTCTATTGATATACTTAGTGATGATTTACCATGCAATAAAACTAATATGCAGTACGTATAAAGAATAAGAAGGAAATTATTGTATGGACAAATAAAATATCGATCATTCGAAGGTAGAAAATATGTATAAGAATTATCGTATAGAATTTTCTTACGTACTCATTAATAACAGCACATATATATATATATATATTTTGTTATTGTTGTTGTTTTTGTTTTTTTGTTTTTGTTTGTAATATAATTGTATTTTAATATTCGAGTATTAAATATACCCTTTAAAAATTAAATTTTAAGGTAATAATAAAAATATGCGTGTACGTGTAAATATTTGCAACAAACTTTTGAAAAAATTGCGAATTTACATATTACAATTAGGTTCTAAGATTTAAAACTGTAAAACTACTCGTTCTCGTCTTAAAAATCACATTAGTATAAAATTAATCTTAATTATTTTTTTTTGTAATCGCCCAAAAGTCTTCAATGTGATAATCTGCCTATCTCATTTTCATTGTATAGTTTTATTCTCGAAAATTACTTTGAAAATTTGAGTTGATGAATATAAAAGGTCGTGTCTTAAATTATGTAAGACAATTATTTTTATGATACAACAAAAAATCTATTTAATCCGATTTCTAAAATTATATGAACTTCTTTTTTAAAAATTCTATGCATAAAAAACGACTAGTTCAATAATATTGTTTTATAATAGTTTAATTACGAAAATATTATAAGAGATATGGTTTTTATAATGCCAATGTATAGTCATTTAATTAATGTTACGCTATAAAAACCTTCAAATTTAACATAATTGAAAAAAAAAAGTTTTAATTACTTAACATTTATGTCGATTAAAAATGTAATAATTGCTTTGTATTATTATTATTATTATTATTTATTTTTTTTTTTACGCTAAACCAGTTAAATGCTATCATAAGAAAATAATCAAAATGAATGGTAAGCACGATAAAAGATAATGATAAAAGATAAAAACTAACTAGATTAAGTATAATGTACTAATCGATTTTAAACTATACATCTAACTACGCAAAAATTAAAGAGGTTGATGCGTTTTTTTTTTTCAAAATTAAACTCATTACTAGCTAAGTGATAAATAAATTGAATTAGTTACAATTGTAATGTAATGAATTTTAACGAAATTTGTTAATACACAAGTAGGTGGCTGAAGGGAGCTTGAGAGAAGAAAACATAATGTGAAAATACTTGTTTATAAAAATTGATTTGAATAAATGCTTTAAAAGTCTTAAAGTGCCTCCATACCTGGCAGTAAATAATCAATGTAGACATAAAAAATGTAGTAGTATTGCGCGATGATAGGTGGCGAACGTGGGGGGAATATACGCGTAGATGGAGGGTGATGGGGGCATATAACCTACGTTCCTCCACAACTGGTTAACGCATCAACCTCCTTAAAGTTCCAACTTTTTGGCTAATTTGTCATCGGGACAAATCGTGTGGCATCGTGCAAACAAACGACAAACAAAAAGCAAAAGAATAGTAAGCAGTTGTGTGTGGAGGAGTGCGCGACTTTGGGCATTTTTCACTGAATTAATAGCGCCGTATCAACCTTTGTGTCACACGATTTACGGAAAAGTCGGATAAAGAAGGAAGCAAACATATATATATATATATATACGTTACGAAGAGATATCGTCATAAGAAGGATCGATAAACGGAGAGAGTCGGCGGAGAATGAGAAAGAAAGAGGACTCGTACGCTTCAGATTTCCAGTGTATATCACACATGCATATACACTTACACAATCGCATCATTTATATATGCACTAGGTCAAGTTGTATAGCTAAGTCACTCTTTTGATATCCCTCCTCTGTCTCCTTCACCTGCTGCCCCTCGTCCTTCTCGTCCTCCTCATTCTTCTCCTTCTCCTCCTTTCTATCCGGGGGTCAAAAGAAATCGAATTTTGTACCGAGATTAACAAGGAAACTACGCAACAACGGCTCTCTCTCCGGATCTATCGAAGCACGACTTGCATATGCATGTGAGGTCATCCATTTCTCTCGATGAATGAATGAATCCATGTTTTTAGGAGGTCGAATGATCTTTGGGCTTGTAAACGATTCGTACTACTCAAATTATCGATATTTTCAATAACTCCTTTCATCTCGCACGCCAAACTCTTTACTTTAAGATGATTTTTATCTATGTTCGGAGCATTTAAACTGGTACAACAGTGAACTAGAATTTGTGATTTTTCCACGACTCTGTGTGTCACGTTAATTATTAAGCTAGAATGACGAAATATGATGAAATATGCTACAATATTATGTAACAAGTAGAATAAAGGCTTGCATTTAGGATTTAGGCAAAACTCGTATATTAAAAAATCAATATACGACTTCTCTTGAGGTCATCAAATGTTTGTTTCGGGAATATCTACTTTAAAATTAGCTAATATTAATAAAGATCTGTCGATATTGCGGAAACCATTTTAATACCAATGCAGAATCATTGATTTTCTTATTTCTTTGGCTGTAGCGATATTTTATGCTATGTGGGACAAAAAGTAACTAAATTATTGTACAACCTGAATTCTATTTCAAAGTAACTTATAAAAATGAAAAAAAGAAATGAACAAAGGCAATGTAGAAGATAACATTAATCAAAATATCCTTTAAAACTAAAAATTTTAAACTTAAACAAATTAGTTTTTATTTTTACGATCAATTAAAAAGAAACAAAAAAAGAAAAAAGAAAGAAATCTTGATAAAGCTTTTTATGATTTTACGTACGTATTTTTTTTTTTTTTTTTTTTTTTTTTTTTTTTTTAGTCATAATATTGGTAAGCCAACATACGACGACGATACGTTTCCATTATAGTGACCCGCACGTAAATTGATTTATTGTGTCTCCATATTAAGATAGGATATTCTTGATGAACTCGGGATAAATATTAAATTGCCTTCGTGTTCAAAAAGAAAAAGAAAAAGAAAAAGGAAAAACAGAAACCAGCCGCAATATTCAAAATATAAATAAATCGATAATTGCATTCTCACGCTGATGTTTGTTTGTTTGTTTGTTATTCTTTTTAGCTCATGGTAAAAAGAGGGGAAACAATATTGATTTATCCGATGTTATTGTACCTTATTAAAGATATACAATACACATTAAAGGAGAAAAATTGTCATATTTGTGAGATAATTTTTAATTTCTTTAATGCATTGATATATTAGATTATAAAGATCCGAATGCATTGAAACATTCGGAAATAAATTTGGAAAACGAATGAATGGATTCTTGATTTTGATGTCTCGTTTGACGTATAAATTTACTCGATTAAAGTTAATGCTTGATTTTTTTTAATTGATAAATTAGCTTTCTATGAGAAACGATTCTCTGTGTAAAATAATATTACATTTCGCGATTCGAGTTCATTGCTGTAGTATTTGAATTATTTTAATTGCAATTCTCGTCAACGGGTGTAATTGAAAAAAGTAACTTGTGCGCAAAGCAAGAAATCTGGACAAATATTTGAATTTTCAAGTCAAGTGAAATAATGGTATTTCATACTAATAAATCTTTTAATTTTCATGTAGAATTTTATGCAGTTTTTTTTATAATAGAATGTCTCGTTATAGGCATTTATCGAGGGGATCTTAGCCATTATAATATTGCGACGATAATCGCTTAGGTATCTAATTATAATTCTAATATTCTAATATTATATTCTAATAATATTCTAATGCAAATTAAATTTCACTCCAAATATATTATAAATAAAATATAAGCATTTGTGATTCCAGTTGAAAATCCATATTATTAATCATTTACTCGAAAAATCGTGGGACATTTAATGCTTGTAAAAATGTGGCATGGAGGATTTGAAACAGGCAACACAAGCACTTTTTTTTTTTTCTTTTTTTTTTACATAAATAAGTAATCACTATTTTATAACTATACATAACTAGTCTCATAAGATTACAAGAAAATAATTAAGAATTTATGAATTAAATAAATAAGAAATTTTAAAAAATCACAGTGTGTATGTACGCTTAAAGCCAAAGTGTGATTTTTAATAATATTTATTAACAGGATGAAATTTTTAAGCCAAAAATGAGAAAATTCGACAACCGATGGATAATACAAAAAGGAAAGAAAAAAAAAAAAGAAAGAAAAATAGGAAAAAAAATAAAGGGGAAAAAAAAAAGAAAAAACGAGTCTTCGCAAGCTTTTATTACGAGTCGCGCGTCAAGTTGTACGAATAATTGCGACTGCTTTTAAAATCCAAGATAAAGCAGCAAGAACAGAAAAGGTCAGTTAACAAGTTCCCATCGTCTTTAAAATTTATTCTGTGTAACTTTATTGAAAATAGTTGTGTACCTCGACTTTGTCAAAACCGGTGTAACTTTCAACAAGATCTAAGAGGGTCTCCAGGCACTGCAATGGCGTTGTTGTGCCGCAAGTCTTCAAGATGAGTCTGCGCTTTGACACAAACATACTGCTCTCGCTGCAAGTACACAGTTTCGAACGTTTATATTGAGAAGAATTTTGACAGTTGATTAAATTAAAAATGGAAAAATTAGTACTGCCCAGACACTTTCTCATTCGTTATACTTTTTTTGTTTGTTTGTTTTTTTTTTTTTTTTTTTTTTTTTTTTTTTTTTTCTTTGTTCGCTTCTCTTTATCAAATAGGAGTATCGTATACAAGATCACGTGTAAGAGGTCTGCGGACAACGATGACTTTGAACTCGACTCACACGATCGCCATTGGATATATCATTTACATTACATGTTTTGCATTACACGTCGCCTAAGCGCGTCAATTTGCTAATCGAGAGGCAGTCTGTCTATGACAAGAGTCTCGATACAATAATGCCCAGGTATTTCTTTAGGTAGGCCTTTTACGAATTACATGACGAAATAATGCGTTTTCAAAACATCAGTCCAATAAACATTGTGCATGCCATTACATAATTTTTACTCACGTCTTTTTCACGTGTAATTTTATCGTGCGTTTATCGTATTTTTTGTTGTCGTTGTTGTTTCTTTTTGTCAAGTTTTCTTTTCTTTTCCTTATTATTAAACTTTCAACTTTAGATCTGCATTCATAGGCGCATTTATCATGCCAACCGGACTAATACTATTAACGAGCGCATTGGAAAAACACATTATTATGACTTATATAGTACAGGTAAGCTTACTATTAATAGTATACCATTGCGCTATTCAATTTAAGCTACTCGTTGAGTCTTATAATTTCCAAGATTAATTAGGAATCGCTGGAATCATTTTGTTGTTTCTTCTCTTCTCTGTTTCATCGGTTTTCGTTTTTTTTTTCTTCACGGATTTGACTACCTTATTTAAAATAAGTAAAAATGGGTAAAAAAAAAAAAAAAAAAAAAAAAAAAAAAAAAAAAAAGAAAAAGAAAAAATCTCACGGTATACATCAAGACTAGTCGAAAACAATCCTTATAAAAATTCTTTGCTCAAATTTTATTCATACTCATGATTGCCATAGTAATAGTCGATCCTATATCCTCTATGTACGAAGTGATATTCTCTTTCGCTACAATACTTATCGGCGATGCATTAAACACCACCTGGGAATTTCATCGTCAATGGTAACACAAGTATCCCATAAGTTATTGAGACTAATTAACGAGACTATAAATGCCAGTTGGAGATCTAGATGTTAGCTTCCGAATTCATGAGCAGCCGCACAATCTTCTCACCAACTAACATCCCCGTCCCCCCAATTCGAAACTATTGAATTCCCGTAATCAATTCCGATCCAACAATGCATATGAAATTCCGAGAAAGTGTGTCGTAATGTTTTCCGGGTCAGGAACTGATAAGACGATCGCGAAGACGAAAAAAAAAGCGCGAGACTAATTTTCAACGCTTAGATGTCTCGTAGGCGCCTTTAGTATCAATTGATACTATCGCAATCTAAAAATATGCTGGGAATCATCGATGCCACCGTCAAATGTGTTCAGGAGGGAGGCGATGAATAAAAGACTTTTTATCAGTCGTAGTTGATTGGTCTTTGACCTATGTATGCGCGTTGGGGTAAACGCCGTGATAAAACACGAAAGTAGCACGTGGTGGCAGCATCCCGCGATCATCTTATATAATATGCGAACGTGCCCGTGAGATTCGTGGAAAAAAAAAAAAAAAAAAAAGAATCGCGACAATCAGCACGGAGAAACCTCCGGGTTATTTCTCTCTACGTTCGTGTCTCCCACTTTCATTGCCCCACGTACGAATGCAGTCTCCTACTTGTCCCTTTTACTCTTTAGCGACTCCTTTACTTCTCGTAGCACACATATACGAGCGATGCATCCACGGACACGAAATCGATATCCTCGCAACGCCTAAGTCATCCCAACGCACCAACCAGACGATATAATATATATATATAAATATATACTTCAACTTGCAACGTCATAGATTTTATATTTATTGCGTATTCTTATACAAAACAAAAAACATATATACGTTAATAAGTGTTGGTGCATTATTAATTATTTAAGTAATTTAATATAATATTAAAATCTCTGCTTCAAATAGGAATTTTTAAGCTTGTATAAATGAAATATTGAGAATTTTGCTTTGCCATAAAATTACAAACAATTATCCGTACAAGCCACGGTAGTTATTTAAAATTAAGCAAATTAAATACGCGATTTCACATTAACATTTCACAATAAGTATTAATACATTATATTAAAATTATAACAAAAATTTTATTCTACAAATTTTGCTACAAATATATTCTTTATAATTTTCAATGAAAAATATTAGTATCAAATGACAAAATATTAAATTTATAAAATTCTTTATCAATTTATAATTGCCGCATACATCTGTTTACAATCCAAATATTTCATCCATACACTTTAAGGGAGATTTGTGGAATCTTTTATTACTCATTCGCTCTTCTTTCTCTTTCTCACGCACGCGCGCGCGCGCGCACACTCTCTCTCTCTCTCTCTCTCTCTCTCTCTCTTAATCTCTTAATCTCTTATTCAGGATTGTTTTAATTTCTGCATTTTTTTTCATGTAATTTTTTCATCTGCCTTGCACCATAAGTCGAAAATTTTATCAAAGGCTAGACTGCGCTTTTCTCAGGTACCAGAATTAAATAAAGGATTAAAATGTGTGTGCATTAGTATTTAAGTGTGCAAATGCATGAAAGTTTGCATTATTCTGGTCTACGAGGTTATTTCGGTAGGAGCGTACAAAGCTTTTCAATGTATTCACGCTTTGCTTCTTCATGTTTAGATAGAAGTGCCGCTATTTGTTTACTATTTACACTATTTATGTGAAAATTTAATTAACGTTTATTTTTATAACGAGTATATACGGTTTAAAAAAAAATCATCTACAAATAATCATAAATTTATCAATATCAAATAGTTGTTTGCAGGCTACAAAAACCAAAATCGTTCAATACTTTAAGAATCTTTTCTCTTTAATAAGTTGACCTTGAGTAAATACTAAATGAATTTCAATGATAAAGTAGCAGACATTAGTTTAATTTAATGTTACAATTGCTTATCTACGTGCAAATTTATCAAGACTCACAATGTTTGAAATTTTAAATAAATAATGCATATATCTATTAGTAATAATTCAATAAATAAGTAAACAAAAAAGCAAATATATGATTTAGCCATTTTTGAGATAATGTCGAATATTTTAATATTTCTTTTTCTATTATAGCATTATAATTTTAATTTAAAGTTTTCATTATTTCAATATAATAAACTGCTTTTGCTATTAATTTACTTTACTGTTATAGCTATGTTTTTATAATATTTAGAAACCAAAATTTCTAATTAAAATGCAACAAAACTGCATTTAATTTTTTTTTTTTTTTTTTAATTATATAATTGTAACTCTAATACAAAAATTTTCAAATCAATTATTGAAGTTAATGGCATAAATGGCGGTAATCGGGTGTCGATAAAACAGAATTCTAAATTGTTTACAATCGCATCCTCTCAAATAAGATTTTTTATTAAATAATAATTTTTAAATTCTCAAAAAATATTTGTAATAATAGATGTTGTAATAGTAAATATGAAATCCCATTTATCCGGATGTTATGTATATCCACTATAAGAATTTATCATAATCAGGCATGATGGCATAATTCAAATTAACTCTTGTTAAATCACAATGAAACAAATTTATAGTAAATAATTTTATAAATATACATTTGTACTTGTAAATTTATATTTAAAATTTTACAAATCATCCATAATAAAGATAATCCAAAGCTTATAACGTAAACTATAAATACACACCAATTGTAACGCATATTATGAAACAAAGAAAACGTGTATAAAAAAAAAACCATCAATTGTTTTACGCTTTATATTATATTATCTTTGACGTGTTTCGTTTGTCCATAAAAATTAATAAATACTTAAATGAAAAGGTAAACAGACAAACAAATTAACATACATCTCCAGTATCATAGTTCTTGATCTCTGAAATATTTACTCCGTTGGTCTTATTTTCGTCAATCGAGGATACGAATTTATACATAAAATTTACGTAAAAAAGCAAAATCCACTGTTCAACAGTTAAGAAAATAAAGGAGATATTCAAATAAAATATAGATCCACAATTTATTTCATTAGTTAATTCGATCCAGCAAAATTATTCAATACCTTATTAAATTCCATATTTGTGCATGGCTTAACCAAATAACAAAAACAAAAAAAAATCCATTTATAACAAGAAATTCTACGTAAATTATACGTGATATGGATAGTTGATATGCATACGTCATTATCTATCTATTAATATAAAACAATGAGATAATATTAAGTAAAATTTCCAATAATTTGTTTAAATACATTTTACAATGAAAATGGCAGTCTACGCATATTTAATTATTGCAATTATATAGATATTAGTATAGAAGAAGCAAGGTGTTCGATCTTCTATAGATATATTTGATTAAAATTTTATCCCTTTTCTATCTGATCTTTAGGTAATTCATAGAGTTCCAATTACTTTCAATCAATTACATATCTTTACTCATTAAGTAATGAACTATTGTCCATTAGTTTTACGTTTTTATTTTAATTTAAACAATAAGTTTATTTATGATATTATTATTATTATTATTATTATTATTATTATTATTATTATTATTATTATTGCATCATGAAAATAGATTAAAGGACGATTTAGTGGCAAGCAGATTTGAAATCATTTTTAATTAAACAATACTAATACACATAACATTTATTCAATTATATTAAAGTTAAAAAAAATAATAATATTACTACTTAATCCGTGTTATTTAATACGAAGACCTGTTTTTACACATTTTTGAGATATAAATTTTTTATGTACTCGTATAAATAGAACGCTCGTCTGACCCGTGTGGTTCGAAATATAGATAAATCTAGAGAGAAGAGGAAAAAAAAAGGGCGAATGAAAGAAAGCGCGAGAGTGTGCGAGAGTGAGCGAAATAGCGAGAGAGAC